AATCCTTTTGGTTAATGGAAACTTAAACCACACTCCTACTATAAAATCAATTTACTACAAGATAGTCACATGGTCTAGGCAATGCCATTCACTTGTGATCAGTTAATGAAAGAAGAAACAACTCCTATAAAGAGAAATGACTACTTTTGCTTTTGTGCCTGGAGTTGAAGAGTTTCTTGTAATAGGGAAAATGAAAGTTGTTACATAGAAAAGTGACAAGGCATTCACTAAGTAGGAGAAAGAAGAAAAAATAAAGAATATGGCTTAGTTTATGTAAATGGCTAAAAAACACTTCACTTATGAGGACTTAGGTTATGTAGTTTTGGAAACTACAAGATATATTTAAGTAGTTTAGTAAGATCATAAGGCATATTAAGTAATTAAACATCACAAATATTACATATATAATATTTTATGTTATATGTCATATAATATGTATAAAATTTATTTTATGTATTATACAAGGTAACATATTATATATAATATGTATTATATACCTCATATTATAATACTAGCGGGCCTCGTGCTATGCATGGGAAAATCAAAATGATCAATATTTTCAATTTAATAATTGATTATGGAAAATAATTTTCTAAAAGTTACTAAAATTTTAAGGTAAGAATTTTCTAAAAATTATGAAGATTGATTAATATTTTCATATAATAATATGAATGATTAAAATTTTCAATTATAATAATATTAGTAATTATTAATATTTCCAATTTAATAATTTTCCAATTTAAGAAATATTAATATTTTCTAATTTAAAATTACCAAAAACCATTTTAAATTACCAAAACAGAAATTGGTAATTACCAAAAACCATTCTAATAAATTATTAAATTTGCTGTTGAATTATTGTTTGAAAATATAAAATAAATTGTTATTTAATTATTGAAACATTATTGTTTAACTAATGAAAGTTTAAAATATCAATAAACTATCAATTATTATTAATAAACAATAATTATTGAATTGAACAAATATTTTAGATATGAATTATTAATAAACAATAATTGTATTGGCCATGGAGTACACACATGAACAGTTCTCATCCCAACTCTATAGTGCCGATTGATCAGTTGTTTATACAATGCTAAGTTGAAATCCATTGCCAAGAATGCTAACTTGAAAAAAAAAAGTTAATTAAGAGGTAAGAATCACTTACCAAAAGACAAAAACCCAATCTATTAACCCATATATGTTCATCTTATTGACCCAAATATGGGTTGTGTCGTTTGCTCGACGGAGCAATGATAATAACATACTAGGATCTCTCCATTGACATTGATACGCATTGTTTCATAGTTAGTAATTGATTGAAACTTCATTTAATTATTAATTAATTATCAATAATTCATTTAAATATTAAAAAAAGATGTGAAAAACATGTGATAACAACCAATTAAGAGAGGCAATGATGGTGTGGTCTCTCTCCAAAATGTTGTTAAAAACCAAGTAGATTCTCTATAAAACATGCATTGATCAATTGGTTCCTTTAAGCAAATGAATTGGACCAAGGAGATGATCTTGATCTTTTGAACAATGTCCAAAACAAAGTAAAAAAGCCATTGCACATAAGATAAAATGAACGAAAACAGGGGTGGTTGATTGATGTACAAGGGAAAAATGCAAGAAGTTGGAAAGAAATGAGGGAGGAGGGAAAATATTTTGAGAAGTTCCCTATCAAGATATGTGTTGATTTATTCTATCCATAATAGGATGGTTTGTATACATTGGTGCTTTGTTTATATATAGATATAGATATATATACAGATAGATAGATAGATAGATAGGATGTTTTTTTTCTATCTAAATGAGGGACCTACCTTGCAATATGGCCTAACGAGAAGGTTGGGTAAGGTAAAAGGAAGAACGGGAGAGAGTTATTGAGAAAGATGGGAAGGGGTAAGGGATAAAGGAGAGAGAGTTTAAGGAAAAATGGGGAAAAAGGGGAATGGAAGAGGAGGGCACATATGATGTGGACCATTTTCTTATATATATATATATATATATACAGACACATACACAATATTTATATTATTATAAAATGGATATTTGCCTTTGGTTTTGGTTCATGTAAAGATAAATATGATTGTATAATATTCTTATATCTTTACCTCTGATTGCACACATATATAGCACATGCCCTTATATTAATAGCATAAAATAAAATATATCCATGTGCAAATTAATTTGAACGTACTTGGTTTGAACACAAAACCTATCACATCCCATATACCTACAATTTTTGGACCAGGATGGGCGGGTCTGAAAATGATCACCCCATGGTGCCTCACTAGTCACGAGAGATCATTTGTGCAAAAGATGGGTATCAAACTATCAATATTCTATGTGATTGTTTTGTCATGTAACCGTTCTATGGGACGCATGGTTTGTAATGTTGGACCGCCCAAATATGTGCTATTATGCCATTTTCTTGTAGCGGTAGCATTGTGACTTGTGAGAGCACATGCAACTCGTGAGGGCACTCAAAAAAGCATAAATGACGATGGTAGAAGAGAGCCCTACATACGTGGTACATTGCTCCTATTCTTTCTCTTCCTCTTTCTTTTTTTCTTCTTTGTTTTCTTTCTATTACCTTTCTTTTCTCAAGACCAGAGCGAGACTTAATGGCTACTACTACTGTCTCTTTGCTCTTAGCTACCATCCCTTCCCCCAATCCCCTTTTTAAATCCATAGCTATAGTGTCTTTGGTTGTAGGACCAGAGAAGTTTCTTTTTTTGGTAGGAAAGGTACATTCTAGAGTGTCTTATCTTCCTCCTCTTCTTCTTACCCTTCTCTGCTATTGCTATCTTTTTATTGATGTGTTGTGATTCATCCATGTTCCTTGTTTTCTATTTTCGGTTCTTGCATTCTAGTTTGCTATCCTACCTTGTTGTTATTAGGTATTGTAATGGTTGAAGTATAAAATTGGGGTTGTTTTTTCCCTAAAAAAATTTGCAATTTTGTTTTTGGGTTAGCATGAAGTTGTGAGCAACTTAAGTTTAGGGTCCGTTTGGTTTGTAGTTGGAATTGGAATAGGAATGGTCTATTCCCATAGTCTATTTGGTTTAGATAGGAATGAGAATGACAATAGGAATTGGAATTAGGATTGGCAATGGGTAGGGTACCCTACCCATTCTCAATCCCGCCTGTGTACCTTGATCCCATACCCGTCTATGTTTTTCTTACAAATTTCCAAATTCATCCCGTCCCAACCCATCCAACCAAAGCGCTATTTGAACCCACATTACTCAATGATTGCAGTGAAACTCTTAATACTACTTCAAGCCACTAAGCCATCTTGCCTTTTGTGTCATTTAATGAAATAAAATAATTTTTATCAACTTTCATGTTCCCAAACAAACATACATATTTATGGTTAACAATTCCAACTAAGAATTAAAAGAAATAATGTTTAAAAATAGCATTTTATAAATAAATGAAATAAATAATCTATCAAAACCAAATTTACATCAAAAGATGATTTTAAAACAAATAAATTTATAAAAACAAAATATTAACAATAGAATAATTGTCTTAGTACTTAAGATTTATAAATTTGTGCATGTATATATCTTACAATTTTTATATATTTTTATAATTATTAGTTAATATATTAATTTATATTTAATAACATTATATTTATCATTTACAAAAAAAAAATAAAAAAGTTTTGTTTACAAAATATTCAAGAATATAGTATTAAACTGAATCTATCAAATCCACTAATTTACATTTATATTAAAAAATGAATTTTAGTTTCAAAAAATTTATAGAAATACAAATTTTAATAATGAAATAATTATTTTAGTAGTTAAAAACTATAAATTTTCATAGGATATACATCCTAGAAATTTTAACAAATTTGATATATTTTGAGTAAAAAGTATATATTTTTATAAATTGTTAAATGATAATTTAATTTATATTTGACAAATTAATATTTGGTTAACCTTTTTGTTGATGTTAAAAGTAAAAATAATAAATCAAAAAATAATTGAAAATTTAATAAACAAGCTACTACCTGAAAGTATTGCTTGGATTGGACTTGAACTTAACCAGACGCCTGAAACTTGCAAATTAACCAATATAGGAATGTCATAGGACATAGGGGTCCTCTTGACTTCTACTTAATTAATTTTTCGTAATATGTTATATATTATATGGGTTTATAATCGGGTATCAGAAATGGGTATTCATGTTCAAATAAAACCAGGTATCGGATATCGGATACCTTAAGTCAAAACCCAAACCCATCCCAAACCCTATAGGGTTTTGATAAATGTGTCCTATTATGGTCGGGATGGGTCGAATACCCAAAAATTCCCACAAAATTGCCATCCCTAATAGGAATGAGATTTCATTCCCAAGGGAGGGGTACGGGGAATGGCCATTCCAACATGAATGGGAATGGGATTTCAATTTTGCCCAACCAAATAGTTGGAATCCAAATATCCAATTCCAATTCTAATTTGAGACCCCTATTCTTGTGAACCAAATGGGGCCTTAATGTTTTTTTATGGTAATTTCGTTGGGATGAGGTTTATGTCAAGGTTTTTAAAATCAAACTGGACAATGAACCGATTAGGGGATCCAATTCCTGGGTTGAATGGTCCGACCATTCTAATCGAACAAATGACATGTTTAGACAAAAAATCAAAAAATTTTTAAAAAATCGCCAAAATCATTGGATGGTTCAACCACCTGGGTCAACACGGTTTTTGACAAAATAACTGTTCTAGGGTAAAACAGAATCCGGTTTTACCGGTCCGACCGCCCGGTCCGGTCTGATTTTGAAAACCATGGTTTATGTATAATCCTTCTTGTTAATTTCAATTCTGCAATAAATTATGCTAGATTATAACCCCGTTTGCTTCGCAGGAATAAGGGTCCGGGAGTAGCAATCTCCATTTGAGGAATGGCCAATCCCGACCCACGTCGTAGGAATCGGAATCCCATTCTCGCATTTTAAAAGAACAAAATGAAAATGACATAAAAGCCCTCAAACCCTTCTCACTGCCCGATTCCAAATTTCCAACTTTCTAACCCTCTCCCTCATCTCTCGTCACTCTCTCCTTGCAGCTGAAGTTTGAAGAACGAATTTGGACTGAAGCTCCGGCAACGGCAAGGTAAGTCACTGTCAACTGTCGATTTTTCTCTCTCTCTTCTCATTTTCTTCTTCATCTTCTTCTTCCTCTCCTTCTCTATCTCACACTCTTTTTCATTCCTCCCGTCTTTCTATTGCAGACCCGACCAGACCACGGTGAGGTGTGTTTTATTCAGTTTTCGTTCTGGCAAAGGTATCTCTTATTTCCATTGCTGCTAGTCTTTTATCCTAAGTTGATGAAAAAGCCCTTAGATTTGATTTTAACCAATGATGATAAATATTATATTTGGTTGAAATTGAATCAACGTACGTATTAGATTTCATTTGTTGGTTGTTGGACTTGAAATTTTCTCCATTTGTACTTTCCATCTGAAAGAGGAGTGCTATTAGTTCGAAGTTGAAGAAGCTCTACCATTGATGAACAGTTTTTAGAGTTTCATGTGAAACAAAAGTCAGAAATCAAAAGCTGGTACAACTGGAAAGAGATTGATAGTTTGATAGTTATTGGTGGAGATTGACAGTTTGTTAATTATTGGGTAGATTACTTTACCCCTGAATATTTTGTTGTTTTTTGATAAATAAAATCATCTTCCATTATTTCAAAGATTGGTTACATGAAAATCCCCTTAGAGGTGCGAGGTGCAGCCTCTCCAAACAGCAAATACATAAACTACAACAGAGATTACATGAATGTTGATGCTAAACAAGAGTTAGAGTTGTGCTCAGAACAATAGCTGATCTCCCAACCCACTGTACTGTTATAGACATATTCCTTGTCAGCCATTTGAATTTCTTTAACTCATTTTTGTAGCCCCAAGTGACATTCTTTGGATTATTTAACCAATCCACCACCGTCTTAGAATCCCCTTCAATCAGAAGTTGCTCCATGCCCACTTCTTTTGCGAGAAGTATTCCTTGTATTGCAGCTAACAACTCTGCACGGATAGAGTTCCCAACACCTAAAGGGCCAGAGTAGAGTAAGACAACCTCTCCAGCCTCATTCCTTGGTACACCTCCCATCCCAGAGGGACTCGGGTTACCCTGGCTACTCCCATCAAAATTCAGCTTCAAAGAACCAAGAGGAGGGGGGACCTAGCTAGTCAATACCCTTACCTTGGAGGAGGAACGGCTTGCTACCAACATCCAATCCTTCCAACAATCAGTAAAAGAGAAATGGTTAAACAATTCTAGAGTCTTTAACCAATGTATTGACTTGTACATAATGCAGTCCTTTAAGGCTTGACTACTCATTCCTTTTTACTGGAAGGTCCTGGTATTCCTTTCTTCCCATACTGTCCATAACAATGCTGCTTGCGTGCACCTCCACATTTTCCTTCCTCTTTTATGGGGCTAAGAGAAAACAAAAGGGTTAAAGATTGTGCTTACTTCTGCTGGCATATCCCAACTACACCCAAACAAAGAAGAGTAGACAAACACTCAATTTTCTCATCCCTTAACCCTCTATGGAAACCAAAATCCCAAGACAACGCTGACAAATTTAAAATTGACGTAAGGAATTTTGAGATCACTTTTTTTTTATACAAAGAAATAGAGTACAAGGATGGAAAAATGGTCTTTTAGAGGGAGATCTCCAGCCCAAATGTCCTCCCAAAACCGAATAGAATTACCAGAACAAGCATCATACCTAACACAACTAAGGAACTACGGAAGAATTTTGTGAATTGCTTTCCATGGTGTAGCTAGGTTAGCACCAGTATCCCAACCACTCTCTGATCATCCATGAATACTCTTCACCACTTGGTGCCAGAGTCTATCTCTCTCCAAAGGCCATCTCCATAATCACTTCCCTAACAATGCTGAGTTATTTTTAAGCACATTCTCGAGCCCTAATCCTCCTTTCTCTTTGCTTCTACCCACAACCCCCAACTAATTAAGTGGTATTTTTTACTTTCTCCTGGTTCCCAAAGAAAATCTCTCATCAATTTTTTCAATTTCTTTGCTTTCTTAGACGGTATCCTAAAGACAGAGAGGTAAGTCATTCAATTGAGGTTGACTGTGTTATGGGCCCGAGAATAGGATCTCGTCACGGGTCGGTCCATGGGGAAAACCTCCTGTTTTCCCTTGTTCCTCTCTTTTCTTGAGGAACCTATTTTGGTGCCTTAATGGTGATTTGTTCAAGAGATCACCAACTCTCCTCATTCTTTTCTTGACTGAAATTTTCGATGCCTTTATTGAATAATATCAGCTCCTTAAATAGGAGATTACAAGAGATAAGAGTCCTACTTTTAGGAAGACTCCTTGCTAATTAGGAAGACTCCCTACTAATCTATCCTACTGAACTGATAAGATAAGATAAGACTGAACTGATAAGATAAGATAAGACTCCCTTAATCTATCCTACTGAACTGATAAGATAAGATAAGACTCCCTTAATCTATCCTACTGAACTGATAAGATAAGATAAGACTGAACTGATAAGATAAGATAAGACTGAACTGATAAGATAAGATAAGACTCCCTTAATCTATCCTACTGAACTAATAAGATAAGATAAGACTGAACTGATAAGATAAGATAAGACTCCCTTAATCTATCCTACTGAACTGATAAGATAAGATAAGACTGAACTGATAAGATAAGATAAGACTCCCTTAATCTATCCTACTGAACTGATAAGATAAGAACTGTATCTAGCTAGAATTAGATAAGATGAGAATCAGCAAATCTTGCTCCCTTTACTGCTGCTGCCGGCGGTGATATGTCTTCCCAATAAAAGCGTCCACATCAGACTGTTATCAAATGGCCCTTAAGTAAATGGACTACATTCAAGACAGAAAGACAATCATCCAACTATAGAATCCCTATTTTTCTTTTAGGAAAATATTTTCAAATATTTTTTTGTAATTCTAATGAAATATTAGAAAGATGGTTGGAATATTTCATATTGCCCCCTAGTAAAAATGGGAGATTTACCAAATCTCATTGGTATTGTAAATCATACTGATTGGAACTAAGATCTGCTATCTCTGTATCTCATTTCCTTGCATGAGCAGTTGCTATGAGAAAGACACCCCATTGGAGCTCTTAGGTACAAGCTTAGTACTGTTATCCTGTATTCTTGTTTGGGCATTTTCCCTTGCTTTGTAAGCATTGACATTTAGATAGCTTCTGCTTTGGAGCACACTAGTATCATGTTCAGCTTTCAATAAAATCTAGTTCTTGAGTAAAATATTTAAAAAAGTAAATGATCCAAGAAAAGACCAACCTAGTTCTTGCTTTGTAAGCTTTTGATCTTTAATAAAATCTAGTTATTGACTAAAATATTAAAAAAAAGTGAATGATCTAAGAAAAGACCAACCTGAAATAGTGAAACTGCCAGCTCCTTTTTGCCTTTTGGGAATTCAGATTTCAATACACAATGACCTAAAGATTTTTTTTTTTTTTTTTTTTTGTAAAAGGTAAGGTATTTTATTAAATCAAATAACAGTACAAAGGAGCCTAGGCCAGTAAAGGCTGCCTAGAGCCAAAGAATTATACCACATCAAGTGCCTTATTTGCTCAAGTAGAATTCCTTGAAAAATGTCCTGTCTCACGATGAAGGATAAAAGAGATGGTGATTGAACACAAAGTAGCTTAATTGCTAAAGAAGAACTCCTAAACCATTTTCACCTACCTGGTGTACGTTCAGTTCATGTGGAAGCTGTACATCCATTGGTGGATATGTTGGCCAATACCTGTACACAGTTACCAGACCAAAATTACAAATTTTTAGGAAACTGAACTTGCATAGCAGTGTTAACTTGCACTCTTAATGTGTTATACCAAGTTTACAAATACTAAATTGGAGAAAGCAAGACCTACCCAGTTGTTAAGACATGGACACTCATTTCGGCACCTGAAGAGAGTTTTGTCCTAGCTTGGGATGACTGCTTGAATGATTCATTTATCTCTTTTGATAATTCAATATCCTGCAAATGCATAGGACCATGTTATATTCAGTGGGAATCCATACAGATGATACAGAACTAGCTGCAAAATACCATTAAGATCTAGCAAGAATACTTGTCATCATCAATTAATTGCATCATGGAACTGATCGCAGAATCTAGGGAAATTACCTAAAAGGTTATTTTGGAAAAATACATTTTTTATAGGGTGAAGCCCTCTCAATTTTTTCCACCAAGGGATAAATAGTTCTGAATCATTGATTTACTGTTCAGTGCTGCTTTCTTCTTTGTACTCCATCCATTTAATTATTTTGTTCAACTACATCACTGTTCAATGCTGCTTCTATGCGTTGGACTTAGCACAAACATTGACAACATTATTCCAAACCCAAGACCAAAGAAATTATGATAGTAAATTCTGTAAAGAAGCCAAGCTTCATGAATTTCCATCTTTATTTATAAACAAAACAGTTGTGAATAGAAATAGAGTGGACCATTTCCATATTAATTAGGCCACTTACGGAGGATGGCTGAACCAGATCTGATTTTCATCAAGGTTTGGTAGGGAAGATATAGAGAGTGAATATTTCCATACTATGTGGTGGCATGGAGTGGATCACTTGATCATGTACTTGGCAGGGAGTGGGTACTTGATTGTGTACTTGCCAGTACTTCTGCATTTTTTGCAATTTTCTGGTATTTTCATGCACTAGTAATTAAGCACATGCGTTGCACGTGAGAAATTTTTCTTCATATTAATTACTTGAATTTTAGATATATCATAGTTAAGATAGAAATTGAAAATTTAAAAAAGTAACAATATGATTAAAAATAAACTTAAATATTTATTATTCAATTATGACATCATGCATTTTTTTGAAAAGTTGGATAATTGACTCACCATCTAGATAAGAAATAGCATTGTTTTTGGATTAGTTTTAAATTAGGGAAAATTATAGTCGGAGCCGACTGTACATTTAAAATTTGGTTACAAGTTGGTCCATAAACCAACAAAACTCTAACAAACGACTCTACATTTCAAGTTATAAAAATTCTTGCCATGTCACCAGAGGGTTATGTGGCTATTGCCAACATGGGACTCTTAATCGATATTGGACACAATAAAAAACTTGTACTGAAATTGCCCTTTAATGTTGGGTGATTGGAAAATAAAAAAGGGTTTTTAGTTTCTCTCTCTCTCTCTCTCAATCTCCCTCACACTCTTTCACTCACAACCATCTTTATCTGCTCAACGACTATGTGATTTGAAAATAAATAAAAATGGTTTTTGGTTTCTACATTTACGTTCTCTATATCAATTTCTCTCATTCTCTTTCTCTACCTATCGTTCTCCCTCAATCTTTCTCATTCTCTTTCTTGGTCAATCTCTCCTCCCTTAATTTCTACCGTTCTCCCTCAGTTTTTCTCCCTCTCCCTCTCTCGTTTTTTTATTTTCTTATTTTCTTACACACTTATATGGTATTAATCAGATCGTATAAAAGAACATGAGACCAGCTTGGTATGGTTAAAAAATTATTACACAAATTTGATAAAATTCACAAGAAACTCTTGGCTATGAAATTTACACCAATTGGAGAACAATAGAGATTGAGGGAGAAGGAGATTTTGACTGAGAGGGAGAGTGAAGGAGAAGAATGAGAAAGATTGAGGGAAAACAATAGAGAGAGAGAGAGAGTTTTTGATTTGGCTACAGACCATTGCAGAGAGAGTGGGAGTGACAGAGGGAGCAGGAGATTGAGAGATGACTATGTGAGTGAGAGAGAAGGGAGGGAGATCGAGAGATAGAGGGAGTGGGAGAGAAACTGAAAACCTATTTTCGGTATAGGTTTTCTGTTGTGTCCAATATGGAATAAGAGTCCCATGTTGGCAACAGTTACATAAGCCTTTGATGAAATGGTGGGGATTTTTATAATTTGAAATGTAGAGCCGGTTTGCAGAGTTTGGTTGGTTTCTGGACCAACCTGCAACCTAATTTTAAATGTACAACCGACTTTGACTTTAATTTTTCCCTTTAAATTATATATTTCATTTACACTATATAAAATATTTTTTACTTATCACACTTAATTTTTGTTTGTCTATGGTATCATTTTACTCAAACCACTAACCCACCATCTAAAAATAAAAATTGTTTGATTTTTAGGTTGACATTAAATTTTGTATTACATTTCCATCATTGATA